TATCCTGGACAGAGTCAGAGAGATAGCATTACATCCTGTATCAAATCTGGCAGGGGTAGTGGTAAGGGCATTTGAACTGCATATGAGATATTGGATTACCTAATACAGTCAGAAACATTGTGGAAGTAGGGTTCTTTGTAATATAAATGAATAAATATGTCCCCTTGGTTTATGAATTAGGGATCTTTCACTGAAGTCTTGTTCCCTAAAAAGTTACCTAGCATTGTTGTACAGCAGTGGATTGGGGAAAAAAGAAAATCTCTTTAAAAGGATCTATATATGAACAGATTGTCTGTACTAGCACAGAACCTATTAGCTTAATTGAGGATCTGCATGGGTGCACATCTACATGATGCTCCTTGCATGAGTGGCCTGTAGATATTTTGCTTGGAATGAAATACATTTTAACAGGCTATACAGATTTAAAACTGTAATTTATTTTTCCTAAAATAACAGAGGATTTTGTAGACAACACAAAAATAGCTACACAGAAAAATACTTAAACCATGTTAGGCCATAACTGTACTTCTAAGAACAATTAAAAGAAGCTGCAGCTTGTCTTATTAAGCCACTGATGTGTGTTAAACAGGCACAAAGTGGTTACAAGAACTTATGTAATCAAAACATTTTCAGAGTGACTTACAGAAATTACTGCCTCACAAATGTGTACTACACCATAATTTAAAAGGGTCAAAACCAATACAGGATAAAATAATACTTCCATGTCAACTAAATAAAAATAATTTATTTACAGATCATGAGGAAAAACACGAAAGGCCTTTCCTTTTCAAATAAATACATGTATTAAGGGACACATCCACTAACTAAAAAAATAACATTGTGCAATTAAATGAATAGTTCTTATGTACTAAAGTAAACCATAAAAACATCTGAAGTACAATAGTGCAACCATGTCAGAACATAAAGCTGATGTTTGCCATTTTACATTTTAGGTAGAAGGCAAGGTAACCTTTCAAAGCAGAACGACAGAAAACTTTATATATTCATTATCTCCATGTTAGATACATGCTTTAATTTCGATATTTAAATAATTGTTTTCCAAGTTCTTTGCTTTATAACATGAATTCTGCATGGTATTATATGAATATTCAGACTTGATGGAGCTGATTATCATAGGATTTCTAAAACCAGTTCCAACTGAGCTACAGCTATATCCCCATTTGGTAGAGCTTTTTTAATAATTTAGACTTTGAACATAAAACTTACTCCAAGGTAAAACTTTATTAACAGTTTCTAACCCTGAAACTTATTTAAAAAACAACACAGTTTCAAATGAAAGTTGCTTCACATGACACATAAAAATTAGAGCTTAAAAAAGGGATTCAGTTTATATAATCTGGCCAAACAACACGAGGGAGATTTTGGTCATTAAAATGAATGAAAAACAGTACCCAAAATACCAATGGCCCAGTCCTGCAGAGAGAAAAAAAATAGGTGTGAAGGCATGTCTCTGAACTCACATCCTTCAGCCAGGCTCTCTGCAGGCATGGACATTCACATGGCTCTCTCTGTGTGGTAAGAATCTTAGATATGAAAGCAATTACTGCACATGCACACATGCTGCTAACTCTGGGACGTGGAACCCACATTTGCAAGAGGTACCTCGTGATGTTATTATACTGGTGAAGAGAAGGCCAAAGGGGATCTAATAGCCTACAGATAGTGAAAGGGGAGTTACCAAGATCGCAGCCAAACTCTTCTTGGTAGCAGGAGAGGATACAATGATGGGAAACCGCTACAAATTTGTAGCCACTTGGGAAACTGAGGTTGGACATGGAGAGAAATTTTTATCCAGAAGAGGAGTGCAAGCAGGGGAACAGGTTGCCAGAAAGGTGGTGATATCTCTGTCTTTGGGGATTTTCATAGCCTGGCTAGCCAAACCCACAGCTAACCTGATCCAGGGCTGGCAACAGTCCATCTCTGCTTGGGTGCTTGGGAGGTTAGACAAAACCACTTCCAGAAATACTTCTTGCAAATAAATTTATGTGATTCTCTGTACCCAACCAATGTTTCACTCATGCAGGTGTGTCAACAAGGTTTAGGCAAACATATTTCACCTCATTTACTGCAGGCCAAGACCACAGAGCTGGTCAAACACTGTGGTTCAGGAGAGACACATAGAACACTGATCCTCAGTCTAAGCCCTGCAAGTTAGCAGAAGTTAATAACACTGAAGGAGCAATATTTTGGAATGGAAGTAACAGCTTATAATCATGACCTTCTCATCCTGAGAAAACGCAAACACCTACATGTTGTAAGCTTACACTTTAAAAAGCAAGCACCGGACCACCTCCCCCTCTCCTCCATACTGCTGCAGGAAGAACTATCTGCAAGTACAACCCACATTAATTCCATTTCCATTTCACTCCTTTGGAGAGAGAAGCTTTTATACACAAACACAGAAGAGGCCCTCATCAATGCGCTCAGTTAAGCACGTTTTTCTCCTCAGAGAAGCTAACTGCAACTGTAATTTTCTTGTTTAAATAATACAGGGTTAATAGTAAACAATACATATGTGACCAGGCATATTTCTGGTACACCTGCATCTCCTCCTTCGTTCTCTGCCACATGCTCCAGGTAAGTCTCAGGATGACAGTGAGGCCTCTTGTACTGCTGGGTGGGAATAAGCTACAACATTACAGCCTCCTCTGTGGAATAAGGTAGTGTGTGAAGATTCCCTTAGTACTTCAAAAAGGAAACCAAACATGTTTTCTCTTCTAAGGCTGAAGTACAATATACTGAAACAAAGTGTGTTATTGTCCTGGTTTCAGCTGGGATAGAGTTAACTGTCTTCCTAGTAGCTGGTACAGTGCTATGTTTTGAGATCAGTATGCGAAGAATGTTAACAACACTGATGTTTTCAGTTGTTGCTCAGTAGTGTTTAGTCTAAAGTCAAGGATTTTTCAGCTTCTCATGCCCAGCCAGCAGGAAGGCTGGAGGGGCACAAGAAGTTGGCACAGGACACAGCCAGGGCACCTGACCCAAACTGGCCAACGGTGTATTCCATACCATGGGACGTCACATCCAGTATAGGAACTGGGGGGAGTGGGGCTGGGGGGATCGCCGCTTGGGGACTGACTGGGTGTCGGTTGGCGGGTGGTGAGCAATTGCACTGCGCATCATTTGGACATTCCAATCCTTTCATGATTGCTGTTGTCATTTTATTAGTGTTATCATTATTAGTTTCTTCTTTTCTGTTCTATTAAACTGTTCTTATCTCAACCCATGAGTTTTACTTTTTTTTTTTTTTTTTTTTTCTTCTGATTCCCTCCCCCATCCCACTGGGAGGGAGGGGAAAGTGAGTGAGTGGCTGTGTGGTGCTTAGTTGCTGGCTGGGGTTAAACCATGACACCTATCCCTTCTGGCACTAGATTTCTCTGTCTTGATAAGAACAAGTTTTCAGATAGTTACCTGAGGATTAGCTGCTCTGATCTAGAGGTTTCAAAGGATGCCTAAAACCACTGCTTCTTCCTGCTTTAAAACTGTATGTTTTTTTAAATGATGAACCATCCTGTTTCTGAGAACTCCACATTTTCTAAAACTGATAACAGAACACAGTCTATATAGTGTTCAGATATAGTGCTGACAAAATGCAGTAACAGCTGTTAGTCATATGGGTTTCCAATCAGTCCATAAAACTTTATACAAGGTTGATTTACTGAGCTAGGTTTCAGCCTGGAGTTGTTTCATTAATACACACAGAAAAGATTGAAACAGTTTGCAGGCTCTGAAGGGGCCCTACCCCATTCCGATCAAAATTAGTGAAAGCTGAGAAGAATTGGATCATGACTGTTAACAGTAGAAATACCTACAATTTTTACTACACTATAGGACTGTTGGGAACAATTTATTATAAGTAATAGTAACTCAGTTTTTAGAGATGACGTCACCTAAAGCTACCACCTGGTGAGATTCTCAAGAGTTTTCTTAAAATTAGGCAAAGGAATTCTCACTAAGGTAAGTAGTTGCTGTTCATTTCAGGGACTTTTTGTAATGAACAATTCATACAGGTGCTTCTGCCTGTGCAGCAATTCTTTCACCTGCCGCTTTAAAACTTCAAATATGCATAAAGAATATCCATTAAAACAGACTCCTCTGTACTATTACAATCCCTCAATTAGTGTCTGAATGGAAGACATTTGAAAAACAAGGGAAAATTACAACCCATATCTGTTTGTAGTACTAATAACGACCTAGTCTAAACAAACAGGCAGGTATTGGATCATTAACTCATCTCGGTAATCCTACATATCACAGGTATTATAGTCGCTCTGGAATTTTGAATGGTAATGGTCCATGCCAATGTTCCTTTCACTTCTGAGCTGTGTAGGATCAGATGTAAAGTCTACTTCTCAGTTCTGAATCAAACCCCAACTCCCATAATTAAATAAATTCTAACTTGCCAACCTCTGCAAAATTATACCAGATCCACATGCACCCACACTGTCTTCTTCCAATACAGACCATTCTGCTTCATGCCCTGAACTTAGCATTTACTTGGATCCAGGCAACCCTTTAACGGTTTGGAGTTTTCTTGGGAAATGTTTCATCAATATATAATTTAAGGCCTTCAAAAAACTAGATAAGCAGACATGAGCAAAAAGAGATTAAATTAACTGAAGCTGTAAATTTTTCTTTTCCTATGAGTGATATTTGATATTATCATGTTCTGTATGTAAGAAATACTGAGCCCATAAAGAAACAAGCAAGTAAAGAAGATAAAATATATTACAATATTGTATGCAGTGACTACTGTAGCATTGACTTACATTACTTAAGAAAAGCAAAACCAGAGCCTATGAGGCAAAGCAAGTGCACAAATGTGAATGAGTAGAAAGTAGAGTCTGGATTTTTAACATGATGTGCAATTTCTAAATACACAGATGTATCAATCCACGATAAAAAGAACACATTATTAAAATCCTTCTTTTTTTTTTTTAAATATACAAGTTATTTAGGTCAGGAAAAGTATCTGTCACTTAAACATTGCAACAGTTTTTCGTGAGTGCTGATTTTTTGACAGGTGTCCCAGCCAGGCTAGTTACTGACCTCGTATCATCTTGATTATCACTTCGTTTTCGTACTTCCCTGTAAAAAAAACAAACAAAGAAACAAAATAATGCACTCAATTAATATATTTCTATTCATGTTCACTGTTCCGTTTCTCCCAGTATATCCTACAGAGCTTACCATCACATCTATTGCATGGTTAAAACTACAGTTTTAAGTGCACAGAATCAGCATGTCTCATAAGTTTTAAATTTGGGAATCTATCAATATTTCTATACAAATCAGTTAGTGACAGAAATATAATAATTTCTGATCTGTAATAACTCCACAATGTTCTGTTTTCCCTTTTCTTTTGATCATTTTTCTTTAATTTGCTTGCTTCAGTATATTACTACAGAAACAGAATACATTCACAGCTGAAAGTATAAAATTAAATAACTGCAATTTCAAGTACAAATTTACCCTCAGAGGAAAAACACACATTGTTGGATGTTTTATTATAAATGCAGACTTAAAAGTTGTGTATGTAGGAGTGATTATTGAGCTGTATTCTCACTACAGGCCCCCTAGAATGTCAAAAGCCAACTCTAAAATTTCTTGCCTCATCTCTTGCCAAATTTAAGTCCCAATCATATTAGTAGAATAAATTCATGAAGTTCCTCTCAGAACACTGTATCATTCAACATAACAGTAATGAAATGTTCATTTAGAAATTTTTATTTCAGAATGAAATGCTTCTTTCAAAGAATACAAATTACTAAGACTTGGCTAAAGAAATTGCAGCCAACCATTCCAGACCAAGGTTCTGGGTAATGTCTAGACCATTTCAGAATCAGTGAACCCTGTGAAGAAAAATACCACTTTTTTTTTTTTTTTGACATTCTGAAATGACAGGCTCCAACTGCCAAAACATTTTTTTATCTTTGAAACAGTTAAAACAAAGTTATCATGTTTAAACATTAGAGGTAATTTTCCAATTGTGATTAGTGTTATATAACTGTATGTGTGTTGTCTAATTTCATAATCCACTGCTGCATTCATGGCCAGGTTCTTGGAAATGAGTCATTTAACAAATCAGCAATTAACTTCACATTGACACTGACAGACAAAGGAATGCCTATGTTCTTGCTGCATCTGACAGATGCATTTTCCTGGAAATAAGGACTTGAAAGTCCCTTGTGAAGAAGAAATGATCCTCTCTAGAAAGCTAGTATTTTGTATTCAAGCCATGTTAATCATTAGTATTTTAGTAACAAATAATAAAATACTGACCAAATGTGAAAAAGTTTGATTATTACTTTAGGCTGCTGCAAAAATCACATGAATATGGTTTGTAATTCTGGCCTTGAGCTCCACATATTAAACTGAAAAAACAGAGTCTGAGAATTCATTACATACTGCCAGCCTTTCAAAAATATATTGTAACCAAGAATGGTTTGTAAAGCTAATAGAATTGTAATGTTTGGCTCATACATTATCACAGAAATACCAGGTTGCTAAATGGATATAATCAGAATTTCTATATTTTAAATAATTTAGAGAAAGGGACATCAAAGAAAGTATGTGGGATTAGAATGGTCAGTAATAAAACTGAATATATAGTAATATATGTGAAAGAATTAAGAATTAATTATACATAGAATTATACACATTTGAAATTAATTTAAGAAAGAATTAAGAAAGTAAATCCATGTATCATTGAAAAATTTAATTCATTCACCAAACAGGTTTTAAAATTGTGAGCTCCATAACTGAGCTCTAATTTAAATATTAATTATTGAGACAGCTTTGTAACATTTGCAGGCAGAAACGTTACTTGATTAAACTGAGAATAAATCCTGTCTTGCATTTATCTATAAAGACTTAACATGGTATTCTTTTTTAAATCGTTTGTTGAATTTGATGCTGGTACAATTTTAAATGCATATGTGTGTCTTTGTATGTATATTCACATATAATGTCCTTTTTACAAAACATACTCAGATGTGTTCATTCAAAAATAAAAACATGGCTACTTACCGAGCAAGATGAAGAACTGCTTCTACAATATTAGATCCATCTTTAGCACTTGTTTCACAGAATAGTGCACTGTAAGTCTGTGAGTAAAAATAAAATGTTAAGCCAACTAATCTGAAATGGTTCCCATGTGAATATGTATATTCAATCACAAATGGTTTCCTCAATAACACAAAGAAAGATGACACACATTTAAATGAACAGGATTTCTTCTGGTACTCTTTATTCTCCAATATATTCACTTTAGTACTGTGAAAAAAACAGTAATTGCTTCTTAATTGTATCTTTTTTACATTCACTATATTCTGAATTAACAAACTGAATGAAAACCACATCGTAGGCTTAATGTCCAAACTCAATCTTCTTTTCCACAAGATTGCAAAATAGGAAGAAAGTTGCTAGGACAGGTTACTGAATCCAGCTTGTTACCTACTCATAAACTACACCATCTGGTATTCTAGGTTAACCAGAAATATCATTCCATAAGTAACAGATCAGATATCTGCCCTGGTATAATCAATCAATTGCACAAGCACTCAGCAACTCAAGACTCTAGGTTCTACATTTTTTTCCGCAAAACACAGGCTATGTGCATTCCTCATCCCCCATACAAATACATGCAAAAAACTTGTCCAGACTTCTATTTATAGCAGAGAGTTTCTTTTTTCTTTCTGCAGACGTGGCAGGAGTACAAGGTAGTCTCTTGAAGATGAAAATATTCCACTCAAAATCTGGACAGACACAAGCTGGGTGAAAAGCCTCATAGGCTCACTAGTGTGCTTCATGTTTGCACTGGCAATTTCTCTTTGGCAGCAGAAAAACTCAGTCTCCTAGTTGACTCACTTTTTAACCATAAAGACTGAGAAGACTACCCCAGCCAATAACGAAGTTCAGCTTACTAGACACCAAGATGAGATTTAGCCCAGCAAACACCATCAAAATAAGACAGTTTTTGTGAAAAGTATCCATGAATTCTATTTAATAGATTTGAACAAATGACCAGAAAGTTACTTTTGTTTACTAGTTTCTCACATGGTTTTCAGATTAAAGTTCCTAAGACCATTTTATCCTAAAGAGGTAGACTTGGACCTTACCATAGCCAGCTTTTCTCCACACTTTATAGGCACACATTTTTGCCCTTGTTCTGTAACGGCTTGGCGGAGATCTGCTTTGTTTCCCACCATCATAATTGGAATATTCTCATGAGTTGCATCCTGTAAAGAGGATTTTATTTCCTTACTGCTAGAACACTCAGAATACAAAAAAGTAACTAGCACCAAAAATGACAAAAAATAACAAATTATTAAAGTCATGCTGAGAACTTTTCATGAGGTAGTTGATATTTAAGCAGCCAGCTTAAACATCAGCCTGCAAAGATATGCTTTCACTCCCATAAACTCTGTTTCCCAACAAGGAATTAAATGCGTCAAGTTAATCTAATGGAAACGGCTACTATGTCCAAATGCTATGTGACAGAATTACTATGAGAAAAGTGACCAACTCCTATCCTATGATTAAAAAATTGCTTTCAAAAGATGATTAAAGATTTTGCTTATCACTTTCCCTCCTATTAAATAAATACCTCTGGTCTGAGAGAAAAACCCTTTTCATCAAATGCAAATTTGTATTCAAATAAACAAACAAGAAGTAATAGTAGGAAGAAATACTGAAAATTTCACTTGAATCATAGCTAATTTACAGAATCTAACATATTGGTTTAAAATGCAAAGACTCCAAGGAATACTCAAGCCATCCACAAGAGGGTATCTGAGATGGGCTCTCATGTTCATTTCAAAAGGAAGTGAATGGGAAGAATGTGATTACATGATACCCTTTTATACAAAAAAAGGTATCAGTTTTAACACTAACTAACTGAATACATCAGGATACGTTTAGGACTTCCATGTAGCTTTTACTTCTATGAGAGACTGCAGTCTGGCTAATTCCAATATGCAGATACACAAATTTTATAAATAATAAGGTTAACAATGGAGTGAAACATAGTTTGTAAGCTGTATATACTCAAGGGTCTTACCTCGATCATATCCACCCATTCTCGCACATTAAGAAAGCTTTTTTCACACGTTACGTCATATAGCAGTAAGACACCATCTGCTCTTCTGAAGTATGATTTAGCAATACTTCGGAATCTTTCAGAAAAAACAGATTTGCATATGGCCACATTATCAAAAAAGAAGTCAATTTAACATCATTAAGAACACAGCATTACTTTATTGCCCACTGAATAAGATTCTCTCCGCATTACAAGATGAGTTTTCTCACAGCTTCTTTCGAAAGTGGTTCTTGAAAACTACTGATTTGGTCAATGAACAGATTAAACTGACTTCCAAGGTGTTGGATTAAGCTCTTAAGCCCCAAAAGCTGTCAGTAAAGAAGCAACGGCTCTCATGTAAGGAGGTCATAGGATTTTGAGGAAACTCTACACAATAATTTGAAGGACCTTGGATATACATTCAGCAATCTGTACAATTTTGCCATAAGTCTTTTTAAAGTCTTTGGGAAGAAGTTTTTATACACTGCAAATGCAATGCAAATCAGGATCAGGACTTTAAAGGAAAGAAGAGAAGAGGGTGAAGGGAAGGGAGTCTTTAAGATAAAGCCTGCTCAGAAATACAGATCTGCAAGGACAAAGAAAGCTAAGGACTAAAAACAGAAGAAACAATGTACATCTACTCCATCTTTTTGTATTGCAAGAGAGGGACATACAGATTCAATTAATAAACGCCATGGTGAACCTTAATTATTTCTCTCTACATAGAGAAAAGATTACCTCAGGCATCACCAAAGGTAACAAATAAACATTCCACCTGTCCTGGGGTCTCAGCAGAGTAAAATCACATCTGTTTATAGACATTTACATATGGCCATACCAACTTACTATAGAACCATATAATATTCAGCAGAATTTTTTCACCTAGATGAAAAAAGGCAAACATCTTTTAGAAACAAACCAGTTGAAATTATATAAGTGCAGAGTATCACTAACCTTTCCTGCCCAGCTGTGTCCCACAGTTGTAGCACTGTAGGTTCTCCATCAACAATTAGTCTTTTCATTTGAAAATCCACACCTGAAATGAATAATGCATACAGTCTAATAAAAAACATAAATAACCTTAAAAACCCACAGAAAATGAAAAATTATGTGCCATATACAACAGTTATTTCAAGATTCATCTCTTAATAGATTATGAAATTTCATTCATTCACATAGCCTTGGACCACAATAATTGCCTGAACATATTTAATTTGTCTTTAGAAAAACATTTAAAGAAATATTTTACCCATACATTTTCCCAGAAGCATGGATACAAATCTGGCATTACGACCAGCAAGCAAGAAGATCTCTCTCTGCTTTATTTTGCTAAACAGTTTTATGGAAGAAGAGAAAGTGTTTTATAAAACAGACTTTATTTCAAATGCCAAGGAAGAAAAAGATAAATTAGAACAAAAATCCTGATTCAGAGGCAATAAAACAAATATATAACTATGATCTGATTGGAAGACAAAAATTCAGGCTTTGGAATCAGTAAGACAAGTTTGTTAGCTGACAGCTATAATAATATACACAACAAGTTACTCAGAAATCCCTCCAGCTGCATTTAAACCAAAGCTTCAATAACACTTTGAAGAAACGGAGGCAAAAAAATAGTATGAAAGACATCAAAGGATAGTATGAAATACTAAGGAAAGAGGAAAGAGCTGAGAAGACAAGAAAGCAACGAAAAATGCAGACAGAATTCTAAGTTCATTACACTGAAACTCCCTTTTCTGGTGCTTTGTATTGCTCAGGAACAGGCTTTGTGCTTTGCAAAGAGAAACTAAATTAGAGTAGCACCCTATTATCCACTCCAAACAGCAGTCAGGCACTTCTAAGCTTTAGTACTCAATTAGATCTCACAGCCTAAGAAACTGCGTGCGTATATTCAGGAAACCCTGGCAAGCAATCACAGAGAGTGATCTTTTCACCCACTTCTGCAGAATAGCAATGAAATTCACTTTAATATTTTAAGAAGAACAACAATTATACCCAGGGTTGCACTGGTATTGCCTTGAAATTCATTCTTGCAAAGTCTCATAAGGAAACTGGATTTTCCCACTGCTGCGTCTCCAGCAAGAACAATCTTGTAAGCTTTCTCTGAACTGGGGTATTTCGGAGTACATTCAGTTGCATCTGACTGAAAATAGAAAGAACCCCTCTATTTCAACTCATATAAAAAATATTCTCTGTATCAAACACTGGGTTTTTTCTTTTTTGCTAAAGAACTGGTTACCTGAGGGGTGACAGCAGATATGTATTTCCTTGTTGAAGCAATTGAGCTGCTTCGACTTACTGGTTGTGAGGTCTTCCAGTCTAACAGTGTACGGCTGTTATCAGGACTGTATGCTTCTTCATCCCTGATCTCTGGAACCTGAAAGTACAAGCTAGTGTGTTAGTTCTAGTGAGAAATGTATGCTTTTTTGGAAAGGCACAGCTAAAATTAATTAAAACATTTGTTTCAACAGTTTGGATAAAACAGAGATAAATGACCAAATAGAGCTCTGCAATTCTAGTCAAAATACTGTGATTATTCTGTTCTTATTCACATTTGCTGTTTATTATAGCCTACATTTGGTCCTTAAACATGTTTGCTGTTTGGCATACATGCTTTCAGTACAGTTTCCATATAGAGCGAATTAATTTCCAAATGGAAAATTTCAGCTTAAAAAATAATTACAATAAACAAATACTTTATTTCAAAGCTTATTTTACAAAAATTAAGAATTTCCCTACAAGATATTAGTCTCTATACTATTACTACTCAAGCTAAATTAACTACAGCACAGCTGTAATCAGCACTAATCATAGCATTTTCAACTGCAAACAGAGACTAAATGTCTCTAATAAATGCACAGTAAAGGATCTGCTCTAGAAAAAACCCTCTGTTCTACTGTGCTTGATACTAGTCTTGCTATGCAGTGTTGAGGGCCAGGTTTGATGGGGCTTTGAGCAACCTGCTCTAGTGGAAGGTGTCCCTGCCCATGGCAGAGGGGGTGGAACTAGATGATCTTTAAGGTCCATTTCAACCCAAACCATTCTATGATTCTATGATCAGTAAAGCTCTCCATTTTACTAACAAAAAAGTGGACACAATAACACCCTCCTACATTTCTAAATTCTGAGACTTACTGTGCAAGTCAATGTATGCACTAACAGTATTCTTTTTCTCATATGTGTGATTTTTTTCATTCACTGTCACAGCATAGTAAGAGAAAGTGAACAGAAACCTATTTTACTTCTATAGTATCTGCTTTTTAATCATTAAAAAATGGGCTCCTGTCCGCATGCTGTTTAACAACCTTCAAAAACCACATCTACTTCAAAAAATGAAATTATTACCTGAAAAACCTATAAAAAATGTCAAAACAAACATTTTATATCAAAGAGCAGTAACCGTTTATGCAGTCTCCAAATAATTGTCACTAATCTTATTTAAACACATATAACCCAAATACTTAGTTTTAACTGGCCTATGGGAAAAGATCTATTTCATTTTAAAAAACAGGAAACTAATTTTGTCTCCAGCCAAGGTCTTTCTCAGAGAAGGAGTAAGTCTGGCACTCACATCTGTATCAGAAGCATCACCACCAAAGCTTTCTTGCATACACTGTGACCTTTGAAAAATCCTTTGATGTCTGTATTCCACTTCTGAATCATACTCATTTGAATCTCTCAGGGTAGATAAACCACTGTCAAAACAGCTCTCAGGTAAGCTGTCAACTTCATAGTTTATCCTTTGCATAGGATCACAAAGGGCTAAAGAATCATAATCTTCATCCACACAAGAAGAATGAGATGATCTAATATGAAAATATTGGGAGGGGGGAAGAAAAAAAAATTATTGCACATTTATTTTTCCCAACAGAATTGGAGCCATTCTGGAACAGTCAATACTTAGAAATGCTAACTATACAGTTTCAGATGTATGTCAATGCCTATTTTGCCTTTCTAAATAATTTCTTTTTCAGTCATATCTCTTAGGATGCTCAGATTAAATTATATGAACAATGTTATTGATGATGACTTCCCAAGACTCAGTAAGAATGTCTATTTATTCATACACAGAAAAAATAATTGTTTAAAAAAGATTCAGAAAATTATGTACTATGAAGACATCAAAGGCAGAAGATGATACCTGATGGTTTAGCTAATTTTGGCCTATTCTAAGACACATAAAATGACCTTGAAATACTGTATCTAACTGAAATGAATGCATTTGTTCACAGATGCACACAGGCCAATAAGTAACAGTTATAAGTAGAGAAAAGGGGGTAACCAGGTTCAGGAGATCAGTAATGGTGGAAGAAGTCACTGAAACATGTTTTCTTACAGTTTGGTAGGCTACGCAAAACTTAAGGTTTTACATAAAAGTCCTTTCTATCACCCTTCCTTCAAAAGCTTTTTTTTTTTTAGCCACTCTGGATGCTATAATATATAAAAATATTTAAATGGATGCAGCAATGACAGTATGGCTTACAGAAAAAAAAATAGTTTTTATTTGTGTAAATGAAACTACAGTAAAGAAAGATTAATAGAGTGAATCTTAAAAGAATCAAAAAAGTTTACTATGGCTACAGTCATTATCCTTCTCCTGCAGCAAGACAGGGACAGGCACAAATTAAAGTGAGATAGAAAAGCTCTCCAAGTCACAGTGGACAAGAGAGAACCAGTTTGGCTCTGTCCTGTTGGGTATGGATGTGAAGCACTAAACTGCTAGAACAGACAAGGTCAGCATCAATCCTTGTAAAGATAGTTTGCTGCCAGAGGGGCTGATCTGATGTCAGGAGACAAAGTACTGAAAATGAACAGGTTTGGGGACATTCATATCTCTTTCTGTCTTTTAACACTACTAAGTCACACCTGTTAAGAGTAAGTTTTATTCCTACCACATAAGCTTTCTTCTAAAGTAGCTTGCACTTCTCGCTTTTGTGGGAATGCAAGGATTGCACCATGTGGCAGTTACTAATAAATATTCACACAGAAAGACATCGCTGAGCCTCCAGAGAGGTTTTAGTTACCCCTTCAGAAAATTACTCAATGTAATATGCAGCTTAGTAGTGGATGCCTCTCAAAATTTGCAGAGGGTCCAACAGAGGGGAATTGGTTTTTATTTGCATTCAGCAGAGGGAATCAGTCTGTGACAAGCAAAATTTTACAGCCAGCAAACACATCTCACATGGAGACAGCAGAATAAGAGTAACACTGTAGAATGGATTGAGATATTATTAGTGTGAAGCAGAAGCCAACTTAATCCCTACCAAAGATATTAATCTGTCCGGCAAAATGTAAAACACAGATGACCAAGAACTCTAACAGAGATCATTCTAGAGTATGAAGTACCACTGAAAGAAAAATAAGAAAAATAAGAAAAATCTATCAATGAAATAAGGACACACATTTTTGCTGGCAGTTCCAGCTGTTTAAAAAAAAAAAACAAAAAACGTGAAAACATAGCATCATCTCCAGCACTGGAGGTTGGATCCAATGTCCAGTGACTTCAGTGAAATTCTCTGCAATGATCTAAGGAAGCTCTGAGCAATGACCTGCATCCAGTAACCAAAGTAAACCAAAGTAGCTCTGACCATTTGATATTTGCACTTAGATAACTTACTGTTCTCAGTGGCTCTTAGCCAATTAATATCCAAGGGCATTCACTACTCTTGCATGGCAGTGTGAGATGAGGATGTTCATTCTTTTGAAGAATTAGGCCCACATACCTTTGTAATAATTATTACATGAGAAAACCAGACATACAGGCTGAAGATAAAATGAAAAATGTTTTATTTCCTAAGTACTGAGTAAGCTAGCTAACAGAGGTCCTCAGTAGATTTTTACAGTTTCTTGGAGGCAAAGAGAGGAGATTGAGAATCAAACTAGAATCAAAACAGTCCAAGGCCAAACAAGAGGCTGTCTGAACTCTCCATAAGTTCATGAATTGCACCAAAAAGAGTTTTCCTGAGCTTTCCAAAGTCATTGAAAATATTCCTATTGACTTCAGTATACTTTGGATCATATGCTATGGTCACACATTCCTTCTGAATCAGACAGAGCTATTTGCTCTGTTATTTGACAATATTTGCTCTATTAAGACAAGTATGAAGCCCTAGTCTTTTTAAACTTAATAAAAGCAAACCTGGCTTACCTGTCATATCGTGGGTTTAGAGGAGACTGTCCACCATTACATTTAGGACTGCTTCTAGAAATGGTACTTCCTGGTGACGTGTTTGCTAACCGCTGCGACAGATACATAACAAATGCATAATAAGTTTGATGTACACAGTGTAAGCATCTAGATTTGTAATGAAAAAAGTGTGTATCATCAAAATTACTGCTGTGTATTTTCATATATATTCAACTACTTATTTTTAATTAAACCTCATGCTTTATATAGGACTGGATGTCAAAAGGCCCATTACACATAGCATTTAGGCTCCACTGTTGCCTTAATACTGAACCTGCTAGTCACACTCTATCGAAAGAGACAATGGAAATTCCAAGAAGATGATTTCATTGACTACACCTGAAGACTGAAATGCTAAACTCTGAAAAGTAATATTTAGAAAAATGGCATGTTGACTACTAAAGTAAAAAGGGAAATGTCACTGGCTGAGCGTTTCAGTAGAGATACCTCCTGGTTCTTGAGTGAGATAGTGGAGAGAAGGAGCGATCTCAACTGATAACACATGACAATATTTTGTAAATTCTGCTGTCCCTTTACACATTTATTCACTGGGAACAGTTTCCTCTGCCTTCTCTGTAAGCTGCCTCTCTTATGTTTCAGGGCACGGCAGAAGGAAATGTTACCACTTGTTGCATCTGCAGTGAATCTTTGGTAGCCTGGATCAGCAAAAGGCACTCATGCTCATTGGTCTGATATGCTGGAAACAGGCAACGACCCCTATTTTCCTGTTTCCTGACCAGTATTGTCTCTATGGGCCCTTTATTCTGGCCCCATCCTTCTAAAAAGTTAGTTCTTTCCTGGTGATATAAGGCCTTGCCTAGTCATTAGTTTTGGAGTTTAATAGGTTTCCCAATATTGCAAAATGGCAGTGTAGAATAAATTTGTTGTAACTTTCAAGTCTTCCTTTCTCTGGTTTGGAGGATGGCACGTTACATCTGTTACAACACATCCCTGTACAGTTGTGATAGCCCAAAAGGGTCTGACTGAGGTCCCTTTTATCAACAGTCACTGCTATTCATTTTCCCAGTGACTTGCCTGGACAAAAGTTCAAATTCGGTTAAGCCCCTGCTACTAAAAGAAAGCAGTTTTCTGAAAAAGTGTTTTCAGTGGTAGGGCACTCCCATATATGCAATACAAAATATATTCCCTTTAGTGCAAGAGAAACTGCTGATTTATTCACTTCATCAGATACATTTAGCCATAGCTTATTAAAAAAAATCACTACTTTCCAAAGCACCTCAGAAAGTAGTTGTGGTCTAACAGAACTCCATTATTTCACAAAAGATACGTAAAATCTGACAAAATTCAGCTACACAAGTATATTCCCAGAATAAGTCCACTGAATAAAACTCAATTTTCTGAGTACCCACTGAAGTACAAACGAATTTGCATTTCCTGTGTTAATTCTTAAACCTTCTAATACAACGTAACAAAATTATAAATACCTACCAATGATCTGTTGTACTTGCTGAAACTGTTTTCAAGAGCTGTTCTTAAACCATCATTGCTGTCATGTAGCTTTCTGTTAGCTGATCTAACAAGGAAACATAGTTTAACTTGCAGGAGTAAAGAAAACATTAAAAACTATGTAACTTACCACAAAGAAGAACTGAAAAAATACACTTTTGTTTTTCTTTAGATAAACACTGAAGAGTAACGTGGAACTAGAAATGTGTTGTTGTATACTCAAACAAATGACTGTACATGAAAAAAGCACTGTGAAGTTTAGCCTCCAGTAGCAGCCTAGGAAACCCTGTTTCACTTCTGTAGCATTGTCTGTGGTCAGCTGAGGGGAAAAAAGACGCTGTAGGAATGGCCGCAAAAAAAAGCTATGGGGTAGTAAACTGGTACAGCCATTTCTGAAATACAAAGTGATTGACTACCCTTTAAGTATTCTTGAGATGGCTCTAAGGATAGATGTGACTCAGCTACTTGAAAGAAAGAATATGTTTAGGATAAGGAAATTATCATAAGATATAAGAAAAATATTCATTGTGATCCTCCTTGAAAGTAGAAATCTGTACACACCTTGTATAATACTGCACACACTTAGTACTTTCCAGATAACGATAAGACAGGGAGTTACTGGATAAGTGAAGTCAATAAAAAAAGGAGCCAAGTAATATTTCTCATAATAGCATGGATAGACTCAAATCTCATTCAGCTTATCATAAAGAAATGAAAGTCAGTGAGGTTAAGAAAAGAAAGAAAAAACAATGAAGAGTTAGTGGCTCAGTTACACAGTAGAGTTAGTAGCACGGTACCTTCTATGAGAGTTGAGCACAGTATCTTCTATGATAATTGAGGCCGTTTCAGTATTTTTACTTGGTATTTTTTCCCAAATGTCACCCCAGTCTTTTGCATACAAAAACATTTACCCCCGAATATCACAGGACAAAGTTTAATAAAAACCTAAATTACTGAGTACTTACTGAAGTATTTCAATTTGTCTTTCCAGGTTATCTCTGTCTTCAGTATACTCTCGGATCATTTCTAGGTCTCTGCAAAAAAAAAACAAAAACAAGAAGTTATACTCTACAGGATATCCTTTTTTATTTTTATAATATTGCTTTTGGCAGAGGACAAAACTCAACAGTCAAGATTTGTAACAGACAATAAATATATAGTGCTGAAAAAACAGCATTTCAAAATATTTCTGAATACAGTTTTTCTATGTTTACATTTCTGCTGAAAGATGTTAAAAGCAGTTTTATGCAAAGCAAAATCACTTGGTAACTTGACTGATTTCTGCCATTATATCTCAACAAAGACTGTGAATGAAAAATAAAAGATCTACAAAATAACTATATGGACCAACTCCTTTCCCCCAAAATATCATTTGCGTTATCTGAAGATAATCACATAATGAAACTGTCATTTATGCTCCTTTAAATGAATGTCAAGAAGCAGCTTTCATTCACTTTAGAAAAAAACTGGGTGAGACTGATGTGGGAGGCTTCCAAAACTATTCTCCCTAATATTCATACAGATGTTCACCTGAGTGCAAGTCATGAAGGAAAAAACTGCCTGATGCTATAACTTCTCCTCCTAACTAAAGTCCCAATAAAATCAATGGGTTTCCTTGCAAGATTATGAGAGTTCTCATCAGATCCAGAACTTGCTTCTTCAGAAACCTGACAAGAGAAGTGAACAGTAGCCATGGCATACTTTGCATGGTATCAAATGTGTACCTGTCATTTATGGCAAATTTAGAAAATAACAGTTACCAACCGCATACATAACTACATCAGACAACAGATTTTTTTCTACGTGATAATTTTTTCACCGGGGAAGTACCTTACCTCTCAGTGTTCAGAGTCTGATCTGCATACTCGCTTTTCAAGCTGTCTAATTCACTCTGTAGAAAAGCTATATTTGTCTGTGCTTCTAAAAGATCTTTCTTAAGTTTCTGATTTTCCTTAAAAGAAGGAAGATATTAGATGTTAGCTATCATAGTCACTTGCATAAAATGCTGACATATTATAATGGTAAAATAAAACCCATCAAAATTAAATAAAAATGAAACACTAGAAAATCTGAGCACAGAGGGGGAAAGAAAATTAAAGAACTCTAAATCAACAGAGAAGTCAGGAAATCAACATGCAAGAATTACTGAATTTTTATTTTTCCATTTCAGTTACACAAAAAGGGGACTATATCATCTCAAGCCATTTCTAAACGTTATACCTAGAATGTGTATGCATTTATACCAAACAGGTTTTTTCTTCCCAAGTTACAGATGCTCATACACTTACCAACTTCAAAAGTTTATTTCATAGCTTACTAGTACTGAATGTAAAAAAAAAAAGTCTGTATTGTAGAGGCTAAAACTGAGGCTAAATTAATAAGTTAACAATAATAATCTCTTACCAGCAACATATCATGTATTCTTTTTCTCAGTTCAACCACATCTTCTCTGTGATTTACATTTTTGGATTGCTCCTCCAGCTAGAAGGATAAAAATTGCACAATTAATGTATGTTATTGATTGTTCTGATTCAAAGAACATAAAAAGTAATGGAAATCATATTAAATTATCCCTAAAGTGTTTACAGCTATTAAAGTTTTTAAAATCCAGAGTTTTCCCAACTGTGTGAGTAGGCAGCATTACTCCAAAAATCACTGGCTTTTTATACAATTTTTTTAATCAATACTTAAAAAAAATTTAATGACCATTTTGCATTCTGTAGGTGTTGAACATGCATAACTAGTGACACAGAAGCCAGATATTGAGAAGATATAAACAGGTGTATCCCCACTAATGTAAAAAAAAAATATATATACTACCTCATCTGTGTAGTATTTGTACTACAAGCTTTCAAGCTCTCATGTTTCTTCTGAGAAATACCCTTTTCTATCAATGCACTTTTAAGTACAATTCAATATGAAGAAACAAAAATATATCCTCACTGGTCACTATAATTCTGGTAAAACTTATAGCAAAATCTAATGTCAAAATTAAACCCAAATTCCAAAATAACCCAAATCAATATTCATTCATTCATTAATACCTTATGCTTAGGTATTAAATTAAAAGATCAGGTTGGAGTTAGGCTAGATTAGTACTAACTAGTTCCACTAGTAATTTCAGTTTAAAATTACAGCTTAAACCCACCTCTACCATTAACATTTGAGAGAAAGGCAGTAGCTGCTAAAAGCACTATATTACTGTAAATTACTATATTTGAGTTGCCAGTTTCATCTAAATCTATAAATTACAAATACTTAGAGGCAATATATTAGACTATTTCTATTCTATCAAATATAAGACTAGGTAACTGTACTGTTAACATCTTGACAGACCTAGAAAATTACTCAGCAACAGAATTTGCCTAGCAGTTGCTCCTTTTCCTACGTGTTTCAGTAAATTACACAGAATGACTACAATAGCTCAGGATGACAACACAACCTATAAAATTATTTGCAGTTGCCATTTACTAATACACATTAAATTAAAAAGCTGACGTTATGATTATCTATCTTGGGGAAGGCATTTCATAGGGTCAGCATCTCTTAAAACACTTTAAAAACTCTCACCATGACTTCAACTCACCTTTTTAAGTTTTTTTATTGTCACCTGAAGATCCCCAACTTCAGTATCATACTGGCGCTTCAGCTCATTTAGTGCTTCTTCAGCTTTTCGCTTCTCCTGCAATATTTTTAATTTTATTAAGAGTTGAGGCAGGTTTCAACTGTTTATTAAAAAAATGCATTCATCAGTTTGGAAACCACACACTTTCCCCTTCGATTAATGTGTGTAATTTTATCTTTCCATCATGTGAACCTGGCCCTCCCTTAAGATCCACAGATGCTGATTCTGTAAATGCAGTCCATTTATAAAACATTCATAGAAATAAAATGGTAAGGTGCAAGCAAAGATAATGCATCAATTCAGTGTTTGTTATTCATGTCATAGGTACTTAACATTCTCGGTGTCTTAAAAAAAACTGAAAGAGAAGGGTTCAAATTTTATTTGTACATAAATTTAGGTGTTGCATATTGTCGTGGTTTAACACAGGAAGACAGTTAACTCTATCCCAGCTGAAACCAGGACACATATATACATGTATACATAAACACCCGCACACAAAAGAGGGCATTACATCCTTTTTTTCAAACCAGCCTTCTGTCGTGGTTTCAGCCCAGCCGGTAACAAAGGACCACGCGGCCGCTCGCTCACTCCTCCCGCCAAAAAGAAGAGCACACCCCCCCGGCCCGCTCCCCCTTTATATACTGAGCATGATGTCACACGGTATGGAATAGCTCCTTGGCCAGTTCAGGTCAGCTGCCCCGGCTATGCCCCCCACCTCCCAGGTTCCTGTAAAAAAAAAATTAACTCTATCCCAGCTGAACCCAGGACACCTTCTACGGCTCAGCATACAATGTGCTAGTAATAGCACCACTGTGCCACCATCAGTTACTTATTTAGGTCTGCTTTTCTTTTAAATTTTTTCACTTTCAACTGTTGGAACATTACAAGCCTATGTTCAGTAAAAGGCATGCTTATGACAGCATCTTTAGTTTCATATGGTACTTCGTCTGAATATCAAAGTAAGTACACTATTCTGTGTTTAATTTTAATCAAAACAGATTTTGAAAGGAAGTTCATCAATGAGTTCTCAACAATGAGAAGAATGGTATGTTCTGCATGTTATAGATAAGTATGTGTTTAACTCACTCCAGTCACTCCCCAGGGACTTCAATGAACAGTTTCACAACACAAGATACCAGAATGCAGCAGTGATATGGGGTGCCAATGAAACAGGTTGAGTTTTCACATGGAAAGGACAGACACGGACTTTGCTCAGAATTCAGTGCTTTGCTGTCGGTGATGCTGACATCCGTGTGTTAAATGATAATCAAAGTAATCAGCTCAAGCTGGACTCTCTTACTGTTGGTATTGTTTGGTAACTATTTGCTTCCCTTGAAGAAACAGGATAGGCTCAACCTGCAGATACTATCATGCAGAGGCAGGTGTCACAGCCGCATGAGTGAGATCACTCTGACGAACAATAGCCTTGAGTACAGGCATTAAGATTAATGGCTTAGTACAATCCCACAAAGTAAATATCTTACATTTACTCTCAGGGCGTTTTAGTAGGTGGAGTATGTGGAACTTCGAGCGAAAGGGAACATTTAGGAGTGAAAATGAAAAGAGCGCTCCAGAAACAAGTTACAGCCCATCTTTCACATCTATAGCTACGTGTGAAACAGTGAAATCGCAATCCATGCAACTCGGTGACAATTTGAGGACTTTTTAGAATGAGAAACACAGACTAGATGTGGATAATACATAGCAGATGTGTTTTTACATAATGCTAGTATGTAGCTGTAGAGGTTGTTCTCAGAGTGAGGGAATACACACATCTGTCATCTTTTTACAGTAGTTAAAAAGTCTTGAGGGCTTTTTTACCACTTTTTGCAGAACAAAAATTTTCCAGTGCAAATGTATTTGTTTTCTAAAAATAAACGATTAGTCTCTCTGGAAATAGAAAGTTTATCTCTCCTGAGAGTTGCATTATCATTAGTTTAACACATTATGATATGCTTTTTTTACTGGAGTGATACCTTTAACATTTTTATGTCATTGTATTTTGTTTCTAGGAAAACAACTGACTTTTATGGTTTGGTAGGAGTATTGCCTCTTACATAGAAAAAGATGCTGTTTGAAGTAAATCTATCAGAACACTGTTTACCTTCACAGATCAATTACCGTGAACTATTTAAAATCAGAAATTTGGCTGACTGCACTTTGCTGCTTCTGATTCTGCAAATGCTTTGGTGAAAGAACCCATACCAAATACATAGACGTTCAGTATTTTGTATGTCCTACAAAGTAATAATTATGCCAATAGTATATGTTTTAATTAATGCATTTCTTATGTCCACATTAGAACACTTTCACAAACTGCTATTCTTATGCACACTATAAATTTAGGCTTATCTTACATGAATTTAGTAACAGCAGTAAACAGACAACACCAGTAGGGTGGTGTTACCATACTGCTTTCTGCTTAGGATTACACAGCCGTTTGTGGCTCTAATATATCTTTCAATGGCTAAGGTGAAGAGATTCTTGTACTTTTCCATCAAGATGGCAAGCCGGTTGAAACAATGGCTAAAACTTGAGCACATTGAAACAGAACTTCACATCAACTTTCAGAGATTCAGGCCCTCACAGACTGTCATCACAATTACCCTCTCATGTCTATAACTCTCTAAAATGTAGTTTCAGGATGAGAATGGGGGAAAGAAAGATGACCGCTTCAGGCAGATACACAAATTAGAAACAAATGACCTAAGCATTAATTTCTACATAAATTCATCTACTAGGAGAACTAGATTCCATTCTTTCATGGTGAATGGTCATTTCTCCAATCTGTTTCCAATACTGGTCTCAGAAATAAGTTCCTCCAGGCCAGCATATTCTCACAAAAGAGAAAGACTTTTTTTTCTTGGTTTATTACATCTGAGCAGCCATTCTTCTTTGGGAAAGCATTAAGAGAATACATTTTCGACCTCATGGATAGCTTCTTTTCATCCAGGCCCTGCCTTCAGCGGCTTTTAGTCAGCCCATCAAGATCAAAAACACACCCGGCCATCAAACCTACTTAAGACCACTGAGAGTTTGGCAATTATGAAATTTTGTAAATATAAAATACTCACTTCCTTTTTAACTTTATGCTCCACAGCCTGTATTCGTTGTTCCATCTCTTCCTCCAGCTCACTGAGCTGAACTGCCGCTTTATCCTGAGCTCTAAAATTTGAAAATGAATACTCTCTTAGAGATTACCCTCTGGGTTGATAGAAACATGTGAAACACATCTGCCTACCTCAGCTGAAACAAATTAGACAGACAGACATGGCAACAGTTTAACATTGCCCAGACCTTGAATCTGGTATGGTTGGGAAACAAAAATCACAAATTAATTTGAAGGTATGGGCAAATCAGATTTTAAATAATAGCTGACAGATGATGATTAGTATGAAATACATCACATCTGCATTTTGAAAATTAAGTTACAGAGATAAAAGGCTCCTCTGGTTATCCTATGAAGAGACTTCAAAAGGATAGCTACAGCACCTTGCATGACCCACACAAACAAGATCTTTGTCCTGAGCTAATCTGTTTGGTTTTGGCAGTAATGATGTGAGATTGCAGATGCCGAGTAGTTGCAATAGGTAAATACACCCCTTGATGCTGAAGAAGCAAAAATATGGTTTCTAAAGTGAAGACATAATGGACATGTATGCTAAAACTCAAAGTTACAGCCAAGGAAGAGTAGTTAAAATGTTTTAAGACATTAAACACAAGAATAGAGCCTGCAAAAATTTGGTCCAGGACTTATCCAAAATATGAACAGGGAATCATTTGCAAGCTGCTGTATGTGCTTATGCACATGTATGTGCATATAATATAAACTAACCTTTGACCTCAGTTTATAGAACTACTCAGCATAACATATTTTGGCATTAGCTCCCAGTAGTTTAACCCAACAAAGTGCGATAGAGAAAAAAGTAACTGCATAACTGAACCAGAAACACAACTTACTATACCTTTTTACAGCAATGGCCAAAGTTTCCATCTCTGTGCTTTGAAGTTTGATCTCTCGGATGAAGTTCTTAATGACATGTTCGTACGGCTGGATTAATCTTGGTTCCGCTATGTGTATGTTCTGATACAGAACACTGACCTGCTCTTGTCTGAAAGAGAAATACCATTTTAACGCACTAACTTGGAACAATGTTCTATAACAGGTTTGAAAAATGTATTACGAATGAAGATATTCCCCTTTTTGCATATTTTTAAAATTTAGCAAGTTAGATATGGACTTTGAACATTCAGCATATAATGTCTGAATTCTTCTAAATTATGTTTACCCTTCCTGCTTCTTTATTTTAATAGTTACTGTAGAAAAAACTTTTTAGCTTAAGTAAATTTTTTGTACTTCTGTTCACGGTGTATTGAAGAGCATGCCACTGGAATAACCCATAATGTGTATCAAGTTTGTTGGTGGCTCTAATGTTAATCATAATCTGTGAATAAGTTTACAACTTTAGGAGGCTGCTCAAGAAATGAAAATGGGTATGAATGCCAACCACCTAAGTCAAAATGGGTGTGTAAAGGGGTGAGAGGGAGGTGATCATACCTCCTTCAAGTAAAAATGTTTGATGTTCCCCCAGCTGTTGGACTCCTAGTATTTACATCTCTTGTATCAGTGTGTGGCGGAGACAGAGCTGTAGGGGAAATGAGAATACAGCTCTTTGGTTTAAGACAAATTATTCTGCTCCAGACTACTGCACTCCTCATAACGCCAGCCCTGTTTTATACTGCAAAAATTCATTGTTATAAGAAATTAATTCTGTATATGATTCTCATGTGAAAGATAACACTTATCTTGTATAGAAGAAAGCAAAAAGTTTCTGTAGACCCTTTACTTATTAAAAGCCCTCCTGAAATTTATAGTGCTTCTTAAAAGCAGGACCAATGCAGGAATAGTATATTCTGATTTCCATTTGATCTGGACTCGCTTACATATATTGTATACAGTTTTAATTGTCAAAGCAAAGAATCTTGACAAGATACAAACCCAAAGAATACCATAAGCACCAAGACATTATTACACAGGTTACTACATAAAAAGCACTGATTTCTGGTCATACCACTAGTAACACCATGTAACCCTTTGCATTACATGGTAGCTAGGTTCCAACATCTGGATTACCCTAAGGCAATCTACCAAAGAAAATCCTATAACAGAATTTAGCAGTCCCAAGGAAAATTCAAGCCGATTGCCACATCAACTATATGCCAGAACATGAACAGGTATTAAAGAACTTAAAAATTAAACAGAAAAAAAGGAAAAGGGAAGATCGGGTCTAGAAAGGTAGGGAAAGCAGGCCAGTAATGAGGAAATACAGCATATCAGTGGCAGAAATGCAAACAAAAACGATGTTTTGCAAGTTCTAGTGTAACACCATATCTAACATATCACAAATACATGATGTCTTGTTGTTGTTAAAGGAAAGCTTAAACTCTGATTTAATGATCCTTCTTGTTAGACAGCTGATATTTTCCTATCTTCTATGGAGGTAGTGCTACTTAATACCTTCAACATACACGTGATATCAACAATCTGCATTTTTGCCCCACCTGAAGCAATTCCACAGCTTAGATTATCAACATTGCAGCACTCTGCTTCTTCTAGGTGATTTCCACACTGAAGGTATAGCTTGAAGTACCATAATTGTTGCTATAGCTCAGATTCCCATCTTAAACAACTGAAGTATTTCAGGACACTGTAAAATGTCCTTCCAGCTGAAATGCTGATATTCATTTCAATATACAGAAACATAGCAGCAGCACAAAGAAATACAGATTTACTGATGCCAGGGGCATTTCTGTGTACATACATGTTTCTGTCTTGCAAAGGGTTTCCTTTACAAAGCCTAATGCTTTAGCTGTATTCAGTATTTCCAGAATTTAAGTGAAACTTAATGTAGTGCTCTGAATATCTTCCAATGTATGCACACAATTTCTTTTTCAAAATATGTTTTAAACAGAGTAATGTCAAGGATCACAAGTAGTCACAATAACACGCAGATTTAGCAGATCATCAGATGCTCCAAACTATGTATAAATAATGTATCATTAAATAACTCCCCAAATGTACTTTTACTCAATAATTCACATTTAAAAAACTGTTAGGGACATTTTCCTTAGCAACAACTTTGCACTAAAACAATGCTGACATTATCAGCACCATCAGAAATATTAAAACTAGGAAAAAACAAAAAACGAAAACAAAACTGTAGACTTAAAATCTGCCCTCCTTTCACTCTGTACTATTGCAACATACAGACAAATGCAAAATTTCTGCACTAAAGGGCTTACTGCACAACAGAGTTTTTAAATGGTTTTGATAATAATGCATTTCACAAAATAAGTCTGAGGTTTGGGTTCATCAGATCTCAATTAAATTTCAAGTGTACAGCAGATATGTAGCATTTAGACACCAGTTTCCAAGTACATGCAGCTGGACAAACAATAAGTTCAGTATCTCAAGGTGTTACCATTTACAGAATTCCTACCACACTTCCATTAACACTGGGTAGGCTTGAAGCTGGAGCCTAGCTGTACTTCAAACATTACTATATGTAGCCTCTCCGTAGCATCTCTATTTGAAATTCCATTTATTTTTGATAGTTGGACTGAGAGCTGGTAACGTATGCTGCATTTCATAAATTCTTAGCACTTCATCAGTTGTCCTTCAAAGCTGCAAATTGCTCACCAAAACAGCAAATAAACTATTCCAGAATAGTTTCAAATTTTAGATAGAAGTAGAGATTGTGCATATCCAGAATTAGCTGCTGAAGAATGTCACTTCTTCAAACTGTGTGAATATATATACACACAGTCCTTTAAATGAGTTGTGTGTAAAATAGAAATGGCAGATGGACGGAGTTTATCACTCTTCCAAGGCAAATAAATTCAGCACAATCTAGGTCAACATATATGAGTTTTAGAAATACAAAATACAAACATGAAATCTATGTTCTGAAATTTTCTTTTTTCCTTTAAATTTCCTTTAAATTTCACCAACAAGATGCTTACCAATAAGCATGTTTCCTACAAGGCAAGCAAACAGTAAGAAATTTACTTGTTACTTGATGCTAACATAAAATATTCATTACTTGAGCAAACGTTTTCCTGATTCTCTTCCAAATCACAGGTCACTGAATTATGGCTGGATCTTTCAGGACCTACATAACTTTTTTCACAAGATTATAGAGTTATGTTGGTACTCTATCTTTCTCACCCCACCTTGTGCAGGATTAATCAGCTGCTGTGTTTAAATCAAATGAAGCTACATCCATAAAACCACATGGTACTTCTAACTGTGCTATACATCCTGTGTTCAAAAATAACACATGCATAATGTTAATAGCAGAGGCCTCCTACCATACAGATTATTAATGGAGTAGCAAAATTAAAGGTATAGTGTCTTATGCTGATGGGACCAGAAAATCAATTAGTCTGGCCTTTGCTTACTGTATTTTGTGCCAGGAGCAGAAGAGATTTGTAATGGAATACTGTAACGCATTTCTGCAGCTGCAAGAATGCCACAGCCACTCCCTCTTGCAGCTTCTTTTCAAAGTGTATGCAAATACACATACCAGAACCAAAGATAGAAATCAGTATCTCCGTGCTGCTGAGCCCCTGCCATACAGCTAAGTCTGCTTTAAGATGCACTAGTCAGAAGCACAAAATAGTTATTGTGAGAGTTTATTCTCCCTCTGTGATACAAAAACCTCTTTATTATTCCTCCTTAGCCCAGTGACCAGCTACCATCCAGATGGTTTCAAAATATCTCAGTGACCCAGTTTTATGAAGCAGTACTTAGGCCTAAGTAGCAAAACAATACCCATATAACCACAACTGTGCAGGATCCTGGAAAGGGCCTGGAAGGCTTTTTTAAGATTAAAATTGGCCGCTGATATTCTCTGTGACACTCACCTCAGTGCTTCTGCGGCAACTTTATGGGAGGTGTTAGTTAAAAACATGACTCAACAACTACTGCAGCAACAAAAACCAGAGGAGAAATTAAAGTCATGCAACAAAATTGATGGGACTCTGCTTAATCACTTACGCCTTCAGCAAGAATTAATATACTTTCATGAACTGGCAAGACTGCTATTGATTTAATCACTCCAAGTATCTGTGATGAATTAGCAGCAAGCACACTGCGATATTTTATAGATACACAGAATTTTAGAAAGATGTAGTTATATACACTCTATATCAACATGCAGTAAGTATTTGATGATTATGAGAGGAATTGTTCTGAATTGTCTCTTTCCGTATTTTCAATCACTCCTCTGTTTTCACATGCTTTGGTAAATATCAGTGACACTGCTGCAGCAGGGCATATTAGTTGCAATGAATATTGCCCAATTTGTTTGTTTGTCTCCAGTTCCCCTTGAATACATGCTATTTCTTTCTGCAGATTCATTAGTTATTCAAAATAATTTATCAAGGAAGATTTCACAAATGGATTTTGCCAAGCTGACTTCTGAACTCTGAATAGTCTATCCTTTTGCTGGACAAAAAGGCAACCAGAATGCTTTCACTTCAGTTTCAGCAAAATTCATCTGAAATGCTCAGGTTTGCCCTTTAAAACTGGTCTTCCTTGAAATCCCAAAATCACTTTTAAATGGATTTAACTGCACACCTTTAAGTCCCCCACTAACACAACTGCAGACATTCACAAATACTAATGCAGTTTTTGATATAAGACATGAAAGAAACTGTCCCTTTGGCCTGTCTGACGCTATGGTTACACTACCTACCATGCGTGCACTACCTCTCTGCTGCTTCTACAAAGTACAGATGCAAAACGCTTATATCCAAAAAAGTATAGTATTCTGGCCAAGTATTGCTCTGGCTTTACCTTGCCTCATCTCAAAGGTTTTATAATGTAAGCTGTCTGTAAAATTACTAATTAGTAAGTATAATTAGTCAATATGTGCACAACTTCACATAAGAGTTAACTTAAGCAAAGTTACTGTATTCACATGGTTTCAG